GATTTGAAAGTTATGTTATGAATGGAACGATTTTATAAGAGTTTATGTATGTTCACGTGCATTGGGATATTACTCTTTTATGACGAGTACGAACTCGTATGCTATGAAGCTGAAATGACCATCATGGTTACCATGATGCTACAACAGGCATTATTCCCTTCGAGTGTCCAGCAATAGCTCAGTAGGCCCAGAGGTGTGTGTATGCGCTTGGTGGGCCTACTCTCACACGTGTGGGTCGTGTGTAGAGAAGTATTATACATCCAATTGTCCGGATTGGAAAGCCATCTAATAGAAGATGATTTTAAATGATAGGTCCCATCATTTTGCATGTGTTACTGGCTATTTCTTAAAATATTCCTGGCTTGTGCTATTCTTATATTTCAGATAAAGGCAAAACACCGTATACAGATGACGGCAGCGTCGTGTTAAAGACCATGGAACTTGTTTTAGGATAGTTACATTTTATTTATTTTGTACCTCTTAGTTTAGATCACGGGGATTGTTTAATATTTTCTTTATTTTATTTATATTTCATATGGATTATTTTTCGTTGTTTTGTTTTAAGGCTTTTAATGCAAACGTTTAAGTCAATGACACGTTTTATGAATTATTTTAAACGAATATTTCCGCATAAAAAGGTTATGTCATGCATATGGTAGCAGCTCTATTTCAGTAAGAAAATACGGTCGTTACATATAACCTATCAAAGTCATTGTTGCTACTTACGCAGTTTTAGCTTATAATATTACTTTCTTTAAAATTATTTTCAATGTATTTCCTCTCTCACGTTTTATAAAATATTTATTTCAACTGTGACTTAAGGCTCGAGCATACATTGATATTATTGACTTGTTCGTTGGGATAGAACAAGTGTCGCACAATCAGAGAGAAGCTAACTCGACCAGCAGCCTTAGGGGTTGTGCAAGCCCTTCCGGTTGACCCATGATGATAGGTCCATTAGCCTGGCGCTTGAATTGAAATCTCTATCCCAAACCACGCATTTATCGGTTAACTTCCACGGAGGCTTCTAATTAACGAAAGAGTGTGTTGTACAGATTCCGCAGATGTGGCGCTACGGCAGCCACAATTCTTTCAAGAGTTTGGCAATGGAGCTCTGGATGCAATTTCTGCTGCATCTACTGCCTAGAATAGGCTCCAGCTAATTTCAAAGAAGCTCCATAATGGATGCCTGTGGCGATCAACACTCATCGCTTCGAAAACCATCCAGAATATGAAGTTTCAACTTCTGAATCAGCCAATGTTCGCCGCTGGAACCCTTAGATCGTTGGCTCGGAGAGCTAGTTTTTCCTCACTTGCTGCCAAATGGGAAGGTGGAGTTTCCATGGTTCAAGGGGCTTCCAGAGGAATTGGCCTCGAATTTGTGAGTTCTTCTGTTTTTTCTTTTCCCTAACAATTTCTATTCCGGTTCAATTACTTGATTCACTCGCTATTCGCGATGAAAATGTATTTGGAACCCATGATTTCGTTGAAGTTGATCAAAGGGTCATTTGAATTCAATGAAATCTTTCAAGTTCTTCATTCCTATTTCTCTGTTTTTGTGGTGTGGACTGTTATGAATTGTTTGATTTGATTTTCTGAGTATTATCAGTTTTTGCTGTTCATGTTTGTTAATCTGAAAGGGATGAGTTATAGACCTAAATTGCTCCGACTCATTACTTTGGCTGCAGCTTAACAAATGAAAATTGACTTTAAACTTGTATTGGTGTAGGTTAGACATTTGCTGGAGAAGAATGAAAAGGGACATGTTGTTGCTACTTGTCGCAGCCCTGGAAAAGCTACAGGGCTTCTTGAGTTAAAAGACAAGTTTTCTGAGCGCCTTTGCATTCTAGAGTTGGATGTGACCATTGAAAGCAGCATTAAGGTTTCACTCTTTTCTTTTAACATGGTTTTTACACCTTGGTTGGAGGAGACCGAAACACCCTTTATAAGAGTGTGGAAACCTCTTCCTAGTTGACGCTTTTTAAAAACTTTGAGAGGAAGCTTGAAAGGGAAAGCCCAAAAACTTTTTAATATCTGCTAGCGGTGGGCTTGAGTTGTTACAAATGGTATCAAAGCCAAACACCAAGTGATGTGCCAACGAGGAGATTGAGTCCGAAGGGGTGGACAAGAGGCAGTGTGCCAGAAAGGATTGGGCCCCGAAGGGGGAGTGGATTGTGAGATCCCACATTAGTTGGGGAGGAGAACAAAACATCCTTTATAAGGGTGTGGAAACCTCTCTATGGCAGACGTGTTTTAAAAACTTTGAGAGGAAACCAAAGGACAATATCTGCTAGCAGTGGGCTTGGGCTTGGATTGTTACAAATGGTATCAAAGCCAGACATCGTGCAATGTGCCAGCGAGGAGGTTGAGCCCTAAAGGGGGTGAACAAGAGGCAGTGTGCTACAAGGATGTTGGGCCCCCGAAGGGGGTGGATTGGGAGATCCCACATCAATTGGAGAAAGGAATGAGTGTCAGCAAGAACGTTGGACCTTGAAGGGGGGTGGATTGTGAAATCCCACATCGGTTGGGGAGGAGAACAAAACACCCTTTATAAGGGTGTGAAAACCTCTCTCTAGCAAACACGTTTTAAAAACCTTGAGAGAAAACCCGAAAGGGAAAGCAAGGACAATATCTACTAGCAGTAGGCTTAGGTTGTCATAGAGATAGTTTTGGATAAAGTGGTATTGAAATCTATACTATGGGTTCTTTCAGACGGCTAAAAGTTTGAAGTCTTGAATTAGGTGGTTGTGCAGCATACGATATAAATTTCTATGTTTCGAAATCTACTTGGTTTTGATTAAGTATTTTTGTTAACTCATGAATTTCATGTAAAACTTTCTAATATTTGTCTGCCATCCAATGTCACAATGCACTTCAGGAATCTGCAAAGTCCATTGGAGAAAGATATGGATCGTTGAATCTGCTAATTAATGCATCTGGGATTCTGTCAATTCCTAATGTACTCCAAACAGGTATTTCTTCTGAGAATTAAGAATCCATTGGTTGATTGAACAGTATAACGTTAACAGTCCTCATCGTGCCGTTGGATTTTCACGCAACATGGTAGCCGACGTTTTGTTAGTGAAATCAAGGTTTCATTTTAGCTCAGATAAATATGTTTGAGTTTAAGCTAGATCTCGACCCAAAGTGGAGATATGTTCCTAATTTATGTAACAGAATTGATAATTGTAGTCAATAATTTTCTTTTTCTTTTTTGTTCATGTAACTTAGTAGTCATGATCTAAGCAATTGATCATGCTCTGATCCCAATGCAGAAACTACCTTGAATAAAGTGGAGAAATCTTCTTTGCTTCATGCTTATGAGGTTAATGCTGTTGGTCCTATCCTAGTGATCAAGGTAAAACTCGCTCAAATACCATTCTGAATCTTTAAAAACTTGTTTTCTTTTTATTCAGTTGAAACTACTTCCCTGAAGATGCACATATAGCTGAAATAATTCCGAGATAGTTATTGCATTTGAGACTAGCCGTCTCTTATTTCCTTTTGGGGAAGGAAAAAGCATTTATTCCTTTAACTAAATACTAACACTGTTTAGTCTGAAGGTGGAGAGGAGAACGAAACATTCTTTATAAGAGTGTGGAAACCTCTTCCTAGATGATGCGTTTTAAAAACCTTGAGGCGAAGCTCGAAAGGAAAAACCCAAAAGAGGACAATATCTGCTTGCGATGGGCTTGAGCTATTACAAATGGTATTAGAGATGGACGATGCACCAGCGAGAATGCTGAACCTCGAAGGAGGTGGAAACGAGGTGATGTGCCAGCAAGGACGCTGGGCCCCGAAGGGGGATGGATTGGGGGGTCCCACATCGATTGGAGAAGGGAATGAGTGCCAGCGAGGATGCTAGCTCTGAAGGGGGTTTGATTGTGAGATTTCACATTGGTTGGGGAATAGAACGAAACATTGTTTATAACGGTGCGGAAACCTTTTTCTCGATGACGCGTTTTAAAAACTTGAGGCGAAGCTCGAAAGGGAAAGTCCAAAGAAGACAATATCTGCTAGCAGTGGGCTTGGGCCCTTACACAAGGCATGCTCAAAATAATGCCCCAAATGAACTTTTTTTTTCTGAATTCAAGTATATGTTTTCTGTCAGTCATTTAAATTCTTGGTGGATTTTTCAACATTTAGCTCACTGACTGCTGTAGATTATGGTTTATATGAGCAGCATTTGTGGCCTTTTCTGAAGGCTGGTGGAGGTTCTGGAACAGAAAGAGATATTGCAGTCGTTGCCAATTTAAGTGCTCGGGTGGGATCAATTGGAGACAATCGTCTAGGGGGTTGGCATTCATATCGAGCTTCAAAGACTGCACTTAACCAATGTATAGTTTCTTCCTTGTGCCCTTTTCTGATTATATGCATATTCCTTTCCCATCCGCCTTGAGCTAACTTGAGTTTGAGATATTTCGCCTTTCTTGCATATATTACTTTTCTGCATGATAACATGCATCCATGCTCTTCAATCGAGCAAAACGAGTCATCTACAATACCGACACACATACACATTCGTTGCAGACATTCGAAATCATATTCAACAAATATTGTTAAAACCATATTATATGTTTTTTGAACTTGTTAGTTATTTTTATGCATAAACGACACAGGAACTAAACATTATGCATTTCGACATTGTATAGTTATATGAAATCTATTCCCTTTTTGCTTTCACAGTGACAAAAAATGTATCGGTTGAATTCGCAAGGAAGAAAGATCCAATCGTATGCATATTATTGCATCCAGGCACAGTGGACACAGACCTGTCTAGGCCATTTCAGAGAAATATTCCTGAAGGCAAACTTTTTACCAAAGATTTTTCAGTCCAAAAGCTTATGACAATTATCAACAATACAAAGATCCAAGACAATGGAAAGTTTTTTGCTTGGGATGGTCAGGAAATTCCTTGGTAACATGAACTTCTCTCTAGTTTTACATTTTTACATAAATTTCTGGTGGTCTGATCTGCTGCTATGATTGCATGATTATGTAATACGTTTAACAAATACGAAGCGACTTGAATATCGAAAACGAGGCAAGAACCACTTGAATAGATTTCAGAGTTCTTTGTAGTTATTGACAACATAAATATACCTTAATTTCTTGATAGAATCCTCTTATGCCTAATTTTCTCAGCTTCCTGCATCTTTTGATTACTTGATAATCTAGTTACAGTGTCATATATGTATTTCAAATTTGGCTGATGTCCATGTGATTGATCTGTACACATCAATGCCAGGTTCATTGCTGTTTTTGCTTGATTCACCATGCTTTCTCTCTGTAGTTCCATACATTCATTGATCACTGCCTGCAAATTCTTGGAAATTTGTGTTTTTATGTTTCTAATGAAACTAGATTCATCTTGCTTGATCTCGTCCCGTAGCTGCCTATTCACTATCATTTCGAACCAGAACACGCCGAACTTGTAGATATCTGATACGTCAATTATCATGTTAGTTTTCTTAGTTGCATTAATGCTAGATTTCATAAAAAAACATATTTAGATAATTGTTTAGTTATTGTGAATAGTGATTTTGGGAGTTCGGTACAATTAATCTTTCCGAATGATTCGATCATAGTATGGTTTAAAACCATGTGTAGAGTTTCGTTTAGATTGACTTACTTCTTGAGCTGCAATTTTGATGACCCAATTTGAACCTTGAAATCAATGGTACTAGCTTTCTGGACAATAAGAGGCTGTCTGTCCTGAGATCATAATCAACAGCAGGCCATTGTTCCTGCAAATAAACCATACCTTCTAACACTCCTTTGGCTACTTTCAGTCTCTGTTTCCATGGTGGACGCGACCTCGACAGCCACATATCGACACTCTCTCCCTCCGATGCCTCGATCACGAGGGCTCTCATTCGTCGGTTGTGACACGAACCGAGCACTTTCACCAAGTTTTTATGGAATAATTGGGTAAAGATCTTGCATTCTTCAATAAACTCATTCCTAATCTCCCTTGAATTCCCATTCCTGTAGATTTCAATCCTCACTTCAGTCCCATCTCTTAGAACTCCACTGTAAATATCAACTCCCTCACACTTCACTATCAAATTCTTCTCTGAAAATCCATCGGTTGCTGCCCTGAGCATCGCCGGCGTGAACTTGTGCTTCCTCCTCAACATCCTTGGCAAGAAATCAGGTCTGTGGAAACAAAGCCACCCCAAGAACCACACTAACACAATCACAAGAATGGGAAACACAATCAACAGAATCACAACCTTCATTCTATACTTCCTATGATCCGGAAGAAGACCCGAACTTATAAAACTCGACGAATTAAACCGTTTAAAGAACAACTCCGAATCAGAGATCCTACTTTCAGAGAACTGATTATACGACAGATTTAGAGTAGTCAGGTTAGCAAGATCAGAGAAAATCCGAAACGAGACTTCACCAATGAGATCATTTCGACTAAGATCAAGAGCCTCTATTTGTTTACATTCCAAAACATCAATAGGGAAACTACCCTTCAAAGAATTGTTAGACAGATCAATGGAGAGGATACTCAGAGGACAGTACTTCCAAAAGAAGTGAAACGACAAATACAACAGAGCAATATTGGGTCGACTACGAAGATCGATTTTTGGGAATGACTCGACGCAATTGGGGTTGCGGGAATCGTTGCAAAGATGGCTAGCAACAATGGAGGACTTGAAGATTTCAATGAGATTCATTGGAGAAGTAGAGCAGTAACGAAGAGAAGGGTTTAAAAGACAGTTTTTGGAGATTGTAGTGTTGAAATCTGAAGGTGGATGTAAGGTATTAAGATCTTCAACGACAGAAGCAGAGAAAATAACAGAAGAACAAGCCGCCATTGTTAAGAGGAACAAGATGAAATTCGCAGACATGGTCGCCATTGATGATTCTGAGATATTAAGATTGAGTTTTTAGGAAGTTTGAGAAAAGACATGAAAAATTGTTTGATTTTTTTTTTAACTGTTCTTTGTAGGTTTTGACGGTTAGTGATGAAGTGGAAAGTGGAAGCCGCCATTTTCGGAGGCTATGGCGGTTATGTTGGAGAAAAATAGAGAACAGTTAAGAGAGTGAAAAGAAAAAAAAAACCTTTTTTTTCGTGGGATTTTGAAAATCTTTGTCTAGATGTTTTACTTTTGTCTTTGTTTGGTTTCCGAGAAAATTTTGCTGGCAATCGTTAAAAAGGAGATTTTTTTTCTTGGGAAAGTTTGATATTTTCTCGAGAAACAAAGCAAATGACATGGAAAACTGGGTGTTTGGTGTTAGGAACCACTACTTCACAATAGTATGATATTGTCCACGTTGAACGAAAACTCTCATGGTTTGTTTTTAGCTTCTTCAAAAGGCCTCATATCAATGAAGACGAATTTCTTACTTATAAACAAGAATCATCCACTTAATTAGCCAATGTGGACTCTCTACCAACAATCCTCGAACAAAGTACACCATAGAGCCTCCCCTGAAGCCTATGTAACCTTCAAACAACCTCCCATTAATCGAGACTCGACTCCTCTCTCTACAGCCCTCAAACAAAGTACACTATTTATTCAACATTTGAGTCACTTTTGACTACACCTTTAAGGCTCACAACTTCTATATTTGACATTTAAGAATTCTATTGACATGACTAAGTTAAGAGCATGATTCTGATATCATGTTAGGAACTACGACGCTTCACCATAGTATGACATTGTCCACTTTGAGCATAAGCTCTCATGGTTTTGCTTTTGGCTTCTCCAAAACACCTCATACTAATAGAGACGTATTCTTTACTTATAAACCTATGATTTGGAAGTCGAGAAAATTTCGCAAGTTAGTTGCTTATACAAACGAAGCAAGAAAGAAAATGAAAAAGGGTTTCATTTAATCAAATGATAAAGTTTGACAAAGAACAGTTAATGATCATCATGAAGTTAGCATCTAATCGAAACTAATCTCTAAATTAAACTAAACTAAATGGGTAAGAAAACTCTAAAGCCTTAGATTCTACATAACAACAACAAAGAACAAAACAAAATGATGAACGAGATACTTCTGCATTTGATCACTGTCAACTTTTCTTTCTAGCCGCTTGTTTTAAGGATCTGATTGATGGAGTTTGAAATGAACGGATGGGATTGAATCTCCGGGAAATTAGCAAGATTTTGAACAAACCCTTTTGGAACCAAACACTGTTCTTCTGAGTATAATTTCTCTTGAATCATGGCGGAGTCAAGAATCTGCAGATCCTCTGTTTCTTGTTCTTCTAGTTCATGCTCTGTTTCTTGCTTAAGTTGTAAAATGGCGACTTGGGCTTGCAAGAATTTGACATATTTGAAAGCAGAATTAAGCATTTCAGCAGTGTTCATCTTGACACCGCCCGGAATCAGCTCTCCAAGCTCCTGCGTCTTCGCCGTAATCCTCCTCCGCCGTTCCCGGGCTGCAATCGTCTGCACCGATGAGGCATTACTCGACGACGGCAACTGTTTCGTCTTCGAGCAATTGCTATTGTTCATCATTTCAGCATTATCCATTCTCCCATCCAACAAACCCAAAGGAAAGTAGCCACCTCCGCCACCGCCGCCGCAGCCGCCACCCACATTACCACCAACACCACCGTAGCAAAAACTCTGCTCCAGCACGATCCTCTGGCGTTTGGAGTAATGAAACTCAAATTCATCAAAAGGGAAGATTTCAGCAGAGAAATACGGGTAGACGTCGGAGAAAAGAAACGGAGAAGCATCGTCAAAGAACGGAGCGACAGTCGGGAAAAGAACAGAGTCATCGGGCATCGCAGGGACGTAATCGAGGTGTGGCGGAGGGAGAAAGAAGAGGTCCGGCGACATTTCGGGGGAGAAATAGGGGAATTGGGGATTGATTGAAGAAGGGTCAGAGTAAAAATTGGAGAAAAAAGTGAGAGCCGCCATTGAAGAGGAAAAGAAGAACAGGGATGTTTTTGAATTAGGAATAAATAAGGAAACAGTTATAATTAATCTCCATGAAACCCCCAACTTCTGAACCCACGATTTTCTCTCTCTACTGTGAATTTGTATTGTTAGTTACTTTTGGTGGGAATGGAGGAGAGACATGAATTGGCTTTGGCGGCTCCTTCCTTTTACTTTGGATTGGATTGGTTCGGTTCATGTAAATCCGATCTCATTGTAAAGGTTTATAGCTTGAATTGTCTTCTCGAAAGAACGGTTTGGTATAATTACGAAGATTTCAATCATGGTGGAATCCATAGTAGGTTGGAAACCTCCATTTTCTTGTCTTTTACCTACTTTACGAGTAGGAATAGCACAAACATAGAGATTTGAGTTATCGACTTGATCAGAAACTACTAACATCTTTCTCGTTGGTGTTTAGTGTCACGATCGTATATTTTTAACCATGCGTTGTTGTGATCTTGACGTGGTTGTATTAGTATTGGAAAAATGTTAATGCAACAAAAAGTTTGTCACTACTAATAAATACAACATTAGGTATCAATAAGACTATCACAACTGATCAAAACAAACAATGCTCTGTCCAAAAATTCATACCCATTTAAATATAACAACATATGAAAATTTAAGAATCTATTAAATACTTTAACGTCAATGATGTATTGGATACTCTTTAGTATGCTTCTTCTTACACTTGTGCCTAAAATCTCATTAAACGCAAACTAAGGTAAGACCCCAAATTGTCGGATGAGCCAAGAGGCCAACCCTTTTGAGATGCATTGTAACTCGAGCAAGACCTAGTTGGGTTTCAGCCTTGGAGAGCGGAACGAGTTTAAATTGGACTTCGAATAGATCCACGTTGGTTGGAGAGGGGAATAAAACATTATTTACAAGGGTGTGAAACCTTGAGGAGTTTAGTTGAAACATAGTGGATTGATGTTTGAATTTAACGGGAGAAACGCCAGCTCTTCAGATTAAGATTCTTCCAGCCATTCAAACTCGGGCTTCAAAAAAAAAAAAAAAAAAAAAAAAAAAAAAAAAAAAAAAAAAAAAAAGTTTATTTGTACTTCAATTTTTTTTTAAGTGATTCCTCCTTTTAAAAATATCTGAAACTATGTTTAAAAAAGAAAAAAACTCCAAGAAAGCAGATATGGCAGCTTCGATTCTGCTCCCCATTGTTCTCCAAATCCGTCGGATTCAAATGCCAATGAAAACCCCTTTCAATTTCAACTTCAATCATCGCCCTGCCATTTTCTCTCATCCGCTTAACAATTTCTCCTTCTCTTCCCCTTCTCTTCCACTCTACCCAACCCGATTATCATGCGCTCTTTCTCCTACTCCGCCGTCGCCATCGCCATCGCCATCGGCACCACCAGGTACTTCATCGTTTCAACCCTTTTAAAATACCCTTTTGCTTAGTTTACAGATTTTGGGGTTAATGTTATGGGCAACCCTAAAGTGAAGGTTCTAATGGAGAAAATGGATCTTATCGGAATAGTCTGTGATGAACAATGTACTCCTGGAAAATACTATTGCCTGCTCTGTCCCAAGGTTATCTGCTCCTCCCGTTTATGCCTTTCGTGGTTTCTATACATGAAAATCAAACCCATATTCTTGTTTTGATGGTTGAACAGTGCAAGGGTGGGCGCTTAATGGAGAGGAGCTTATCTCTACATGTAATTCCAACAGGGTAAGTGATTATTACTGTTTCCCCCCTTGATTTTATGAGGATTGTTTGGCAGAAAAATGTTCATGAATTACATTTTGTTATTGGGAACAGAGATTTTGCAATGTGGAGGTGTTTCCAGTCTGAGTGTGGTTGGGCAGGCCGGGTAACGTTATATTAATAATTAACGTTTCTTATTTAACAATTAACACATGAGAATTTATTAGCCGAATGATTGTTTGGTTTAGATATTTGCAGATGGCAGATTGGCGTTTAATGAATTCAGCAGAACTGCAAAGTTGTTTGGAGGAACTGTGAAGAAGAGTCTTATTTTGGAGCCTCTTGGTGATGAGGTACTTCGAATTTCATTGCATTTCTATGTATAAGACACACTTAGACTAATACGTTAGTTGTGACATCCTACATTGGTTGGAGAGGGGAACGAAGCATTCCTTATAAGGGTGTGGAAACCTCTCTCTAGTAGACGAGTTTTAAAACTGTAAGGTTGATGGCGATATGTAATGGGCTAAAATAGACAATGTCTGCTAGCGGTGGGCTTGGGCGGTTACAAATGGTATTAGAGTCAGACATTGGGCGGTGTGCCAGTAAGGACACTGGGCCCCCAAGGGGGTGGATTGTGAGATCCCACATCGGTTGGAGAGGAGAACAAAACATTGCTTATAAGGGTGTGAAAACCTCTCCCTTCCTAACGCATTTTAAAAACCATGAGGGGAAGCTCAGAAGGGATAACTCAAAGAGGACAATATCTGCTAGTTGTGGGTTTGGGCTGTTATAAATGGTATTAGAACCAGACAGCGGGCGGTGTGCCAGCGAGGATGATGGGCCCCAAGGAGGTGGATTGTGAGACCCCACATCGGTTGGAGAAGGGAACAAAGCATTCTTTATAAAGGTGTGGAAACCTCTCCCTAGTAGACGCGTTTTAAAATTGTGAGGCTGACGAGGATATGTAGCGGACCAAAATGGACAATATTTGCTAGCGGTGGGCTTGGGCTATTTAACTTGTGCAATCTTTTGACAGAAACACGGTTATTGGTTCTAACAGGAAGTTGGCTCTTAATTTTGATTGCTAGGTAGTCCTACATGTTACGATGAATAAGACTAGGAAAACTTTTGATCTTAATGCAAACTGTTGAATTTATCTTTGAATTTGAGGTTCAAGTGTTTTGATGTTTCTTTTTCAGCTAATCACTTACTTCAGCAAGAGAATGATATCCCAGGAAACTCTCAAAAGGAATGTTGTTATGCAAACAGCTGGTCGTCAGGTACCTGAAAGAATGCTTTTGTTTGTATGCCTTTCATTGAATTTTTAGACTCGTACCGTTGTGGATGCAATACTGACTAGAAGTTGTGTAACATCCCAAGTTCACCGCTAGCAGATATTGTCCTCTTTAGGCTTTCCTTCAAGGTTTTTAAAACGTGTCTACTAGGGAGAGGTTTCCACACCCATTCAAAGAATGCTTCGTTCTCCTCCACAATCGATGTGGGATCTCACAATCCACTCCCTTCGGGCCCAACGTCCTCACTGGCACTCGTTCCCTTCTCCAATTGATGTAGGACCCCCCAAACCGCTCCTTTTCGACCCAGCGTCCTTGTTGGCACACTGCCTCTTGTCCACTCCCCTTCGGTGCTCAACCTCCTTGTTGGCACATTGTCCGATGTCTAGCTCTGATACCATTTGTAAAAGCCCAAGCCCACCACTAATATATACTGTCCTCGTTAAGTTTTCCCTTTCAGGCTTCCCTTAAGGTTTTTTAAAACACGTTTGCTAGGGAGAGGTTTCCACACCCTTATAAAAAATGCTTTATTGTCCTCCCCAACCGATGTGGGATCTCACAAGCGCGTCTCTCTCATTTCCTTGTAGCTTCAACTTGTGACTAGTTTAAAGGTCACTTGCAGGCTGCAATTGCATTCACTTATCGACAAAACGGACAGCTAGTTGGCTGTAAGTACCGAACCATAAACAAGAAATTTTGGCAGGTACATTAATCAATCCTTCTTCAATCATAGTTATTTTAGAAACTGTCCAGCATCTTCCTTTCTGTTCTTCGGCTTGTAATTCTAAGCGTTTCTAAGCTTTCTAATCTGTATGTCTGATATCAACATTCAGGCGAAGGGCACAGAAAAATTGTTTTATGGGATTGATGATATTAATGATGCAGATGAACTCATCATTGTATGGATTCACAATACCTTGTTTTGTAAGTTGGTATTTTATATTTGAATCTATTTTTCCATGGATTTTTGATAATGTTGTGTATGTCGATTAAGGTCGAAGGTGAAATGGATAAACTTTCAGTAGAAGAAGCTGGCTTCCTCAATTGTATCAGTGTTCCTGGTGGTGCCCCAAATAAGGTTTCAACTAATGCAGTAGCATCAATTCAAAAGGTTTTGTGTTATAGAAATTCATCTATGCCTATCTTGTTAGCTTTTACATCATTCCTATGAGTTATGCCACTAAACTATTTCCCTCTTTCAAGGGTGAGATCCCACCTCGGTTGGAGAAAGGAACGAATCATTCTTTATAAGGGTGTAGAAACCTCTCCCTAGCAGACGCATTTTAAAATCTTGAAGGGAACCTTGGAAGAGAATACCCCAAGAGGACAATATTTGTTAGCAGTGGGCTTGGGTTGTTACAAATGGTATTAAAGCCATAAATTGGGCGATATGTTAGTGAGGAGATTGAGCCCTGAAGAGAGGTGGATTACGATACAGTGTGCCAGCAAGGATTGGGGGGTCCAACATCGATTGGAGAAGGGAATGAGTGCTAGTGAGAATGCTGGGCTCCAAAGGGGGTGGATTGTGAGATCCCACATTGGTTGGGGAGGAGAATTAAATATTTTTTATAAGGGTATGAAAACTTCTCCCTAGCAGATGTGTTTTAAAATCGTGAGGGCAAGCGAAAGGAAAAACTCAAAAAGAATAATATCTACTAGCAGTGGATTTGAGTCATTACGTTAAGAAACTTGAAATCACTTTTTGATACCCAAGATTTAAATTTAGTATCTATTTGGTCATTTAGTTCTCGAAATTTGAATACGTTTCAAAAGTGACATCTTTAGTTTGTGTTTTAAGTTTCATTTTTAATAGATCCCGAAAGTTTGGAATTGGTTTCTAATTGGTTCTTTAGCGTAAAAAAGTTAAAAAATTTCAAAAAAAACTAGACGTGTTATAATTCATATTTGGAAAGTTACTATGAGAAGGGTCATTAAAGTGTCATAAGAAACGCTCTACACCCTTTTTCAACTAGAAACCAAAGATAAATTGTGATAATATTAGGTTGAGCTATGATGATCACATAATTCATTTGTTCTTTAACATCTGGAAAGTGTTTAGTTTACTTCAACTTGTTCTCTTTTCACATTTTGGTGGGATTATGTCAGGATACTGCATATCAGTACTTATGGAGCTGCAAAGACTTGTTAGATAAGGTATATAATGGAAAAATGCCTTTACAGGTCTGGTCCGGGCTTTGTTTGATAATCATTTGGTTTATCCTAGATTTTGAAAACACGTGCCGTGGACAACAAGAAAAGACCAAATGGTTATCAAATGGAGCGTTTTAATTTACGTTAAGAGCTTCATCGTTTTGTAATTTACGTTTTGAAAACGTGTTTTAAAGTTTGAAGTACTAACAAAATTATTAACCTGAAAGGTTCCCCGCGTTATATTGGCTACTGATAGTGATGAACCAGGGCAAGCTTTGGCAGAAGAGCTAGCGCTTCGGCTTGGAAAACATAGGTCTCCACTCAGTTGTGAACTTTGTGTTAATCTTAAGGCTTGATTTGTTTTTCATAAAGGCAAAATAACGTGGCTTTGTTATTTGAATTAACAGATGTTGGCGGGTAGACTGGCCCTATAAAGATGACTTCAACCGTTTTAAAGATGCCAATGAGGTTACATTCCTCCCTAAATTACTCTTTTAAGTTTTTTTAAGCTCAACAAGGTGGGGTTGGTGTTGTCACACCCTTGAATGCTTTGATACCACTTGTTGTGCTGTAATATCACAACCTTTAATGCTTTGATACCATTCGTTGGTACCCAAATGCCACAACCAAAATGTTTTGATACCCAATTGTTGCGGAAGCAGAAGCAGAAGCAAGACCGATCCCACTCACACACTCACAAACATATATTAAACAAAGTGACACAAAGATTTATGTGGTTTGGAGAGTAGAAATTCTCCTACATACTCTAAACCCTAAACAAAAATTAGACAAATAGACACAAAGATTTACGTGGTTCGGAGAGAAGAAATTTTCTTACATCCACGGGTGGTAGCCAATCACTATAACCAAAGTGTTTACGAGTGTATCTCTCACACTCTCACGCTACGAACTCTCTCAACAAAATTCCTCCAAATTGTCTCTAGACAAATACAAAATGACGATAACTCCACACCTCAAAACAATACTAGACAAGCCTTTATATAGGCATCATGGACCAAATAAAAGAGAATATGAACCAAAAGGGTTATAAACTAAATGAGAGTTAACAATGAGGTGAAGTCGAGCCTCCTAAAGCTAATTATAGATCATTATTCTATGATGTATGTTTTATATTCTTACTATTTTTGTTGAAAATCTGGAAAACGGCAAGGATGACAAAAAGAGGGCGGTTTCGCATCGTTAATTCGAAGCTTCTTTCTTGGGACGATGATATTTGTTTTGATCCTTTCGGTATTTGAATGTGCTTTTACAAACAGATTCTGATGCAGTTGGGGGCAGATGCTTTAAAGAAAGCAATTGAAGATGCCAAGTCATATCAACTTTGTGATACAGATCACATACAAGTAGGTGGGTATCCGAATATTTCCAGAAAATTTCCATTTTTAAAATGTTTTTGATTTGGGTTTTGGTAGTTATTTTGATGACCTTCCTCTCTTTTAACTTTGCAGAAGGGGACCTCGAGAGCTTCCATGAGCCTTCGTAACTACGGAGAATCATCGGTAACAATTAGGTTCATGAATTGCATGGGAATGAACGTTTCGTGCAGTTGAAACATTGATATCGACTTTGATTTTACTTTGAATTAAAATAAAAACTAAAGTTTTTATATTAAAGAAATATGAAGAAAGTTATTATGAGTTTTTAATCAACTCCCTCGATCTTTCAATGATCGAATCTCCTCAATAAAGTAAAGTTGAGACTTGTGGAAAAATTTATTTGAATACTTAATATATTAGAATATAATATCTTATTTAAATTATATTTAAAGATATATATTTAACAAAATTAAAAATTTAAATAATAAAATTTTAATATAATTGAGATGAATAGGATCATTTTGTTAAATAATCTTGACAATGAATACATTTATAAAGAGATCAAATTTGACGGGTTTAATCTTTTATAAAATGATTTGTATAAATAGTGTTAGAAGGATAAGACACTCCTTATCTCTCTATAGTTGACCTTTTAGGTGAGTCATATACCATTCAATATTATACTAATAATTTTTAATTCTTTTTTTTTATACGATAGATAATATTAAATTGTAAATAAAATAAAATTTTATTTTATGTCAATTATATACTATTTGTTAGATGAAAGTACTCACATTCCTTTAGGGAATGGTCATGGGTTTATAATCTAAGAATACACCCTCCAAAGCAAAGTCATGAGAGCTTACGCTCAAAGTGGACAATATCATACCATTGTGGAGAGTCGTGTTTGTCTAACATGGTATCAGAGCCATGCCCTAAACTTAGCCGTGCCAATAGATTGGCAAATCCTCGAATATCGAACAAAGGACTCCAAAAAGAAAAAAGGAGTCAAGCCTCCTCGAAGGAAGTCAAAAATGGTCGCTTCGATTAAGGGGAGGTGTTGGAGAGTCGTGTTCGTCTGACACTATTCAATATTATACTAATAAGTTTTAATTTTAATTTTTTTTAACAGATAATATTAAATTGTAAATAAAATAACAAAATTATTATTAAAAATTAAATACACGCTTTAAAACATAAAGTCCAACATGTTCTCCAACTTACCATAGAGAAGACGAGACATATCTCGTAATTCAAAACATAGTAGGCACTTTAGCCTAGAGAATCTTTTTGTATGAAACAAAATGATTGTCATTTAAAGTCATTTTAGTCACTATCAAGATGTTTCTCTCTTGATTTTATTGCTTGGAAAATAGATAAATATATATTCTTCTTTCTAAACGAGTACGAGAAGAGCTTGAGCCTTTGACTTAGTGGCTAACTGAGCTATTTCAGCTACTTGATAAACTCTAATGAGTACGCTAGAAGAAGGGGTTGAACCTTCTACCTTGTGGTTAAGAACCACACGCTCTAACCTGAGCTATTCCAGCCCCAATATTATACGCTAGAAGAAGGGGTTGAACCTTCTACCTTGTGGTTCAGAACCACACGCTCTAACCTGAGCTATTCCAGCCTCAATATTAAAAAATTTCCCTTCTACCTTGTGGTTCAGAACCACACGCTCTAACCTGAGCTATTCCAGCCTCAATATTAAAAAATTTCTAAACGAACTAGGAGAAGAGCTTGAACTTTTGACCCAGCTAACTGAGCTATTTCAACTACTTGATAAAACTCTAATGAGTACGGTGAAGAAGGGGTTGAACCTTCGACCTTGTGGTTAACCGCCACACGCTCTAACCAACTGAGCTATTTCAGTCTCCACTATTAAAAAATTTCTAAACGAGCTAGGAGAAGAGCTTGAACTTCTGACCTTGCGGCTAACTGAGCTATTTCAGCTACTTGATAAAACTCTAATGAGTACGCTAGAAGAAGGGGTTAACCCTTCGACCTTGTGGTTGTGGTTAAGGGGTTAACCCTTCGACCTTGTGGTTGTGGTTAAGGGCCACATGCCCTAATCAACTGAGCTATTCCAGCCTCCACTGTCAAAAAATTTCTAAACGATCTAGGAGAAGAGCTTGAACTTTTGACTCGGCTAACTGAGCTATTTCAGCTACTTGATAAAACTCTAATAAATACGCTAGAAGGGGTTGACACTTCAACCTTTTAGTTAAAAGCCACACTCTCTAACCAACCGAGCTATTCCAGCCTCCACTATTAAAAAAATTCTAAACGATCTAGGAGAAGAGCTAGAACTTCTGACTTTGCGGCTAATTGAGCTATTTCAGCTACTTGATAAAACTTTAATGAGTACGAGGAAAGGGTTGACCCTTCGACCTTGTGGTTAAATGCCGCCACATGCTCTAACCAACTGAGCTACTCCAGCCTCCAATGTCAAAAAATTTCTAAACGATCTAGGAGAAGAGCTTGAACTTCTGACCTTGCGGCTAACTAAGCTATTTTAGCTACTTGATAAAACTCTAATGAGTACGCTAGAAGAAGGGGTTGAGAACCTTCGACCTTGTGGTTAACAGCTACACGCTCTAACCAACTAAGCTATTCCAGCCTCCAATGTCAAAAAGTCCAATGTCAAAAAGATCTAGTAGAAGAGCTTGAACTTCTCACCTTGTGGCTACCTGAGCTATTTCAGCTACTTGATAAAACTCTGATAATGAGTACGCTAGAAGAAGGGGTTGAACCTTCGACCTTGTGGTTAACAGCCACACGCTGAGCTATTCCAGCCTCCAACATCAAGAAATTTCTAAACGATCTAGGAGATGAGCTTTAACTTCTGACCTTGTGGCTAACTGAGCTATTTCAGCTACTTGAAAAAACTCTAATGAGTACGCTAGAAGAAGGGGTTGAACCTTCGACCTTGTGGTTAACAGCCACACGCTCTAACCAACTGAGCTATTCCAGCCTCCAATATCAAAAAATGTCTAAACGATCTTGGAGATGAGCTTGAACTTTTGACCTTCGACTAAGCTATTTCAACTACTTGATAAAACTCTAATGAGCGAAGAAGGGGTTGTAACAGCCACACGCCCTAACCAACTAAGCTATTCCAGCCTCCAATGTAAAAAATTTCTAAACGATCTAAGAGAAGAGCTTGGACTTCTGACCTTCGACTAACTGAGCTATTTCAGCTACTTGAAAAAACTCAAATCAGTACTCTAGAAGAGGGGGTTGAACCTTCGACCTTGTGGTTAACAGCCACACGCTCTAACCAACTGAGCTACTCCAGCCTCCAATGTTAAAAAATTTCTAAACGATCTAAGAGAAGAGCTTGAACTTCTGACCTTCGGCTAACTGAGCTATTTCAGCTAACCTTCGATCTTGTGGTTAAGAGCCACACGCTCTAACCAACTGAGCTACTCCAGCCTCCAATGTCTATAAACGATCTAAGAGAAGACCTTGAACTTCTGACCTTCGGCTAACTGAGCCTATTTCAACTCTTTGAAAAAACTCTAATGAGTACGCGCTAGATGAAGGGGTTGGAACCTTCGACCTTGTGGTTAACAGCCACATGCTGTAACCAACTGAGCTACTCCAGCCTCAAATGTCAAAAAATCTAACCAACTGAGCTACTCCAGCCTCAAATGTCAAAAAATTTCTAAACGAGCTAAGAGAAGAGCTTGAACTTTTGACCTTCGGCTAACTGAGCCTATTTCAACTCTTTGAAAAAACTCTAATGAGTACGCTAGATGAAAGGGTTGAACCTTCGACCTTGTGGTTAACAGCCACATGCTGTAACCAACTGAGCTACTCCAGCCTCCAATGTCAAAAAATTTCTAAACGATCTAAGAGAAGAGCTTGAACTTCTGACCTTCGGCTAACAGCGACACGCTTTAACCAACTGAGCTACTCCAGCCTCCAATGTCAAAAAATTTCTAAACGATCTAAGGAGAAGAGCTTGAACTTCTGGAGTACGCTAGAAGAAGGGGTTGAACCTTCGATCTTGTGGTGAACAGCCACACGCTCTAACCAACTGAGCTACTCCAGCCTTCAATGTCAAACTATTTCAAAACGATCTAGGAGAAGAGCTTGAACTTCTTACCTTCGGCTAACTAAGCTATTTGAGCTACTTGATAAAACTCTAATGAGTACGCAAGAAGAAGAGGTTGACCTTCGACCTTGTGGTTAACAGCCACACACTCTAACCAACTACGCTACTCAAGCCTCCAATGTCAAAAAATTTCTAAACGATTTAAGAGAAGAGCTTGAACTTCTGACCTTCGACTAACTGAGCTATTTCAGCTACTTGAAAAAACTCAAATGAGTAGGCTAGAAGAGGGGGTTGAACCTTCGACCTTGTGGTTAACAGCCACACGCTCTAACCAACTGAGCTACTCCAGCCTTCAATGTCAAATTATTTCAAAACGGTCTAGGAGAAGAGCTTGAACTTCTGACCTTCAGCTAAAACTCTAATGAGTACGCAAGAAGAAGAGGTTGACCTTCGACCTTGTGGTTAACAGCCACACGCTCTAACCAACNNNNGAGCTACTCCAGCCGCCAATGTGATAAAACTCTAATGAGTACGCAAGAAGAAGAGGTTGACCTTCGACCTTGTGGTTAACAGCCACACGCTCTAACCAACTGAGCTACTCCAGCCTCCAATGTCAAAAAATTTCTAAACGATCTAAGAGAAGAGCTTGAACTTCTGACCTTCGGCTAACTGAGCTATTTCAACTCTTTGAAAAAACTCTAATGAGTACGCTAGAAGAAGGGGTTGAACCTTCGACCTTGTGGTTAACAGCCACACGCTCTAACCAACTGAGCTACTCCAACCTCCAATGTCTAAAAATTTCTAAATGATCTAGGAGAAGAGCTTGAACTGATCTAGGAGAAGAGCTTGAACTTCTGACTTTCGGCTAGTTGAGCTGTTTCAGCTACTTGATAAAACTCTGATGAGCACGCTAGAAGAAGGGGTTGATAACCTTCGACCTTGCTGTTAACAGCCCCACGCTCTAACCAACTGAGCTATTCCAGCCTCCAATGTAAAAAAATTCTAAACGATCAAAGAGAAGAGCTTGAACTTCTGACCTTCGGCTAACTGAGCTATTTCAGCTACTTGAAAAAACTCAAATGAGTACGCTAGAAGAGGGGGTTGAACCTTCTACCTTGTGGTTAACAGCCACANGCTCTAACCAACTGAGCTACTCCAGCCTCCAATGTCAAAATATTTCTAAACGATCTAAGAGAAGAGCTTGAACTTCTGACCTTCGAGCTATTTCAA